AAAAAAAAAAAAAAAAAAAGCAAAATGGTGTATGTTAACTTCATATATCTGAAGGACTGAAACAAAAATGTAGAGGTGAACTAATGTGCAAATAAGCTAAATTACCAACCTTTTGCATCAACAGCTCGAAAGTAGGCTTCCCATGAATGTTCCAATTCGTCTTTAAATGTGCCTGGAAATATAGAATAATCAACAAATTCTAAATATTGCACCAAATGAGAAGGGGAGAAAAGGTGCATGAGAAAGTATATAAATACCTGATAGCGAATTAAATGAGCAGCAAGCCATGGAGGAAACCAAGCACCATGAACCTTATTATGTCACAAATGAACTACTATAAGAAAATTAAATAATATGCATACCAAAATAGAACTCATAAACGGATATACAAAAATGAAGAGATACTGCAAATCATCTGATTGAATTTCACCTCCATCAACTCCTTCGTTTTAGATGCCACCTCAAACTTGGTGTTCATCATTTCTTCCTGAATAGGATTTCCATATAAGCAACAAGAAGAAGAAGAAAAAAAAACAAAAAACAATAATCAACAAAAGCATCAAGTAGAGGGAAAGAGTTTTCAACTTTTCATAACATACCTCAGCAATTTGAAGAGCCCGTTCGGTTTTCTGTAACTTGGACTTCTGGTTGTCAATTATCTTTTGAAGCTGTTCAAGAAAAAATAAAATAATATAAAATAAACAAAGTATATGTTGCAGCTCATGAGTTTCAGATATAGAACGATACAAGAAATAAGAGAGTTAAATTATTTAACCAAACCAAGCGCACATGACAAGAACTTACGCTATTAACTTTGGTATTCAATTCAGAAGCCCTTTTCTCAGCTTCTGTTAGTCGAGCTTCTAGTTGATCCTTTTCCTTGATTTTCACCTCGAGATCTTTAGTGAGTTTCTCCACTTGCTTTTCTAATTCACCAATCCTTGCATGTGACTTTCCCAACTGCACATCGGCATCTGAATTTCCATTTTCCTATGAAAAATAGCAAAAAAATCCAATAACAACCAGTAACTTGCAACGTCTTCATGATATAAAAGAATGCATCTAAAGAGTCTAATCACTTACTTGTAGGGAGGAAATTTCACCCTTCAGAGTTACGAGGCTATCTGATTTTTCTTTGATTAGCTTCTCCATATCAGCAATTACTGCATCCTTTTCTTTCATTTCTCCATTCTTCTCCACAATTTGATACTCTTCAAATATTAAAAAACTCGTAAGAAATAAAACTACAATAGCAAACCAGGGAAAAAAAAGTCCTATAATCGTTGAAACAAAACTATCAGGCTCCGCTGAGAGCATAAATTTCCGCATAAAGAAGCTCGAGTATATCCACATATACTTACTGCAGCCATGCAGCAGAATAAAGCAATATCTAAATCCATTCTACATCAAAACTCCCAAATACAAAACAGAAAAAAAGGCTCGATTCGTATGGATTCTTGGCGAAATGCGCATGACCCGAAATTCTTCTCGAATTGAGCTTTACGGAAAAAATAAATCACTGCAATCCGTCCCAACTTCAATCGATTTTCGGCTACAATTTGCTAACACAACCAACTTCTTGTTCTCAAAATTATATTCTCCGTCCTCCAATAAATTGGCTTCTTTCAAAAACCACCCCATTTAGAATGCATAAACCCATTCATCAAAGTTGCTTCATATTTTGTTTCTTCCAAATCAAGTACCCAACAGAATCAGATCAATTCAGTAAGAATAAAAGGCTTAAGCACGCGATGATAACCCACAAAACGAAGAAAAAAAAGGAAAAGGCACATAAGCAACAGGAATCGCCATTACTGCATCAGAGTGTAATCCAATAGTAGAGAGAGACAACCCAACACCTAAACTTACCTAAATTTTCGATCGTGCTCCTCAGCTGC